AAAAAAAAAAAAAAAAAATGAGCTCTATGAACTGCAGCTTTTTTAAGCAAACATGATCCTAATTTCTTGGTGATTTTTATGTTCGTTTTTCTTATCTTTAAGGGGGTTATTTTAGGAATTTTTGTGGTTTACAAACATTTAGCTGAAGTTCAGCAGTTCCTTCTATTTTACTTTATTTCTGTTTTCTGTAAAATTAAACTTAAATTTACTTAAAAATAATTTACAGAATAAAATTCCACTGTTATCCGAGTTCAGATGACATATTCCAAATATTGATGGCTGTTTCCAGAAAGTGAGATTTGAGACACCAAAAAAAAAAAAAAAAAAAAAAACTTCCTCAAGGTGCTTTTTGATGCTTTTTAGAAAAACTCATTATATATAAAAATAGCAGTCATTTCTCTTGAGTAGTGCGGGATAGGAAGATAAGATGGCCCCCATGCCTTTTGTCCCCAGGTGTTACACCCATGATCATGTGATTTACATGGCAAAAAGGATTTTGCAGATGTCATAACAGCTACTAATTACAGAATAGGCGTGGTGGCTCATGCCTATAATCCTAGCACTTTGAGAGGCTGAGGTGGGTGGATTGCCTGAGCTCAGGAGTTCAAGACCAGCCTGTGCAACATGGAGAAGCTCCATTTATACTAAAAATCCAAAATTAGCCTGGTGCAGTGGTACAACCCTATAGTCAGCTACTCGAGAGGATGAGGCATGAGAATTGCTTGAATCTGGGAGGCAGAGGTTGCAATGAGCCAAGATCGTGCCTTTGCACTCCAGCCTGGGCAAGAGAGTGAGATGACATCTCAAAATATTTAAAACATTTAACTCTGTCATGAAGGCTAATGTTTGTGTTTTTAGTAGAGATTTTTGTATTTTTAGTAGAGATAGGGTTTCACCATGTTGGCCAGGCTAGTCTCAAACTCCTGACCTAAAGTGATCCATCCCCGTCAGCCTCCCAAAGTGCTGGAATTATAGGTGTGAGCCACCACTCCTGGCTACATGAAAAAGCCTTAATGCAAAAGGGGTATCTGGTTGGGGGCTTTGAAGATGGAGGGGACCAAGCGGGAAGGCCCTGAGGAGCAGCCTTTAGGAGTTAAGAGCAACCCCCTTGCCAACAACCAGCAAGGAAACAGGG